CTTCCTTAATCTTTCTCCGTTGTTTCTAACTGCTTTGTGAATCTCAGTGATACTTCCTTCAGGCACATCTGTGGGGACCAGAATTTGCAGCCCAGAATGATGACACTCAAACCAAGCCCTTTTGCCCAGTTTACTACTAAAGTACAACGAAAGAGTTCTCTACCATAATAGTAATTAACACTCCTAGAAGTGTAACAAATAACCCCTGGAAAGGCTGCAGAGAAGAGCCATAAAGATGAATAGGGGACGGGAGGCTAAAACATATGAAGGTTGCAGGAATTGGGTATGTCTGGTTTAATGAAAAGAAGGAGTGACATGTTAGCAGTGTTTCAGTATTTGAGGGGCTGCCACAAAGAAGAGGGGGGGGGGGGGTCAGCTTATTCTCCAGAGCACCTGAGGGCAAGGCAAGAAGCAACAGTTGGAAACTAATCAAGGAGAGAAGCAACCTGGAACTAAGGAGAAATTTCCTCACAGTGAGGATGATTAACCAGTGGAACAGCTGGCCTCCAGAAGTTGTGGGTGCTCTATAGCTGGAGGCTTTGAAGAAGAGACTGGACAGCCACCTGTCTGGAATGCTATAGTTTTTCCTGCCTTGAGCAGAGGGTTGGAGTAGAAGACCTCCAAGGTCTCTTCTAACTCTACTCTATGCTCAAAGTCCTGGAAGTGATCTTTCCTCCATTTATTTATTAGATTTATATGCCACCGATCTCACTATCAAGTGCCTCTGGGAATCTTACAGTATCACAAATGACAATATGGACACCTAGAAAATTAAAAAAAATTAATCGAGTTCTAATTAACATTTTGATGATATGATTATTTCTCTTGATTTACTGATTTTCATTTCTTACTTTTGATGGTTAGGATTTTTTGAGATTTTATTAGTAGTGTTTACTTAATAGATCAACGTATTTGTTTACTAATTGTTTTTAATATGTTATAGTCTAGGCTTTGGTAAAAATGGTTGAATATGATATTTACTCATTATTTTGATCCAGACAGTAGCTTGTTTGTTGAAATATGTGATTGTACCTATCCTTATTTTACCCTAATTCCTTACTCCCCTTCCCTTCCCCTTTCCTTCCACCCCTCCCTTTACCATACCTGTATTGTTCCTATTTTTCCTCATTTATATAAACTTAATAACATTTTGTTTAAAAAAAAAATTAAAAATATTAAAACAGACATTCAGATCAAAAGCGTAAAACTTACAGCATTAAAATTAACATTTAAAAAACACATTAATATGAACCTTCCTTCACAGCTGATCCTAGGAAGCCCCCGGCGTTACAGACGGCTGCCTTTTGCCTCAACCCTGCCAGGTCTCAATAAGATACCAGGTAAGTTGGTTTTTCCTGCAGTTTTACAGGGAGGTGGGAAAAGATGGGGAGAACGCTACGATTCTTCGTTGTTTCCTTCTTGCAACCAGTCTGAGCACCTGAACGCTGCATGAAATACAGTTAAATATCCTTTTCTTTTAAAAAAAAAGATGAGATAGGTAGTCCTCAATTTATATCTAGAGTTGAGCCTAAAATTTGCATTCCTAAGCAAGACAGCTATTAAATGAGTTTTGCCCCACTTTACGGCCTGTCTTGTCACAGTTGTTAAGTGAAGCGTTGCAGTTGTTAAGCGAGTAACACGGTTGTTAAGTGATTCTGGCTTCCCCATTGACTTTACTTGTCAGAAGGGGATGATCACTTGACCCCGGGATACTGCGACCGTCATAAATCTGAGTCAGTTGCCAAGCGTCTGAATTTTGATCACGTGACCGTAGGGAATGCCGCAACGTTCGTAAGTGTGAAAACGTCCATAAGTCATTTCTTTCAGGGCCATTTTAATTTCAAACGGTCACTAAACGAACGTTGTAAGTCAAGGACTACTTGTACTATAGATTAAAGCAGGGCTTTTCAACCTTTTCACCCATTGCACCACTTTTAGAATATGGCAATATTCGAGTACCACCAGTAGCCTAGCAAGGTGTCAAAAACTTGATGACCAAAAAAAAAAAAAAGGAAAAAAGTGATAAAATACAAGTAGTCCTCGACTTACAACAGTTTGCTTAGTGACTGTTCAAAGTTACAATGGCACTGAAAAAAGTGACTTATGACCATTTTCCACACTTATAACCGTTGCAGCATCCCCAGTGTCAATCTACATTTGGATGCTTGGCAACTGATCCATATTTATGATGGTCCCAGTGTCCCAGGATCATGTGATCCCCTTCTGACGAACAAAGTCAGCGGAGAAACAAGATTCACTCCTTTTATATCGTCTCTTTTCTCATCCCTCTTTTATATCCTCTCTTCTCTCCCCTTCTTTTATAGCCTCTCTTCTCTCCCCTTCTTTTATATCCTTTCACTCCCCTTCTTTTATATCCTCGCTTCTCTTCCCCTCTTTTATAGCCTCTCCTCCCTCTTTTATATCCTTTCTCTCCATTCTTCTTTTATATCCTCTCTTCTCTCCCCTTCTTTTATAGCCTCTCCTCTCTTCCCCCCTTTTCTCTTCCGTGCACCTCCAGCTGATTCTCTGTCTCTTTTTTGCAGTCTCCTTCTCTTTCCCCTCCCCCTTGTCTTTTTTTTCTCTCCCTCCCCTGCCAAAACCTCCTTTTATGGCAGTGGTTCTCAACCTTTTTAATGCTGCGACCCCAACCGGTCGTAAGTCGAGGACTAAACCGGTCGTAAGTCGAGGACTACCCAACCGGTCGTAAGTCGAGGACTTTCCCTGCCCGGGAGCGCCGCGCATGCGTGGTTCCGCCCCCTGCGCCGGCCGAGGCGTAGCTGGCAAGCGGCAGAGACGGAGCAGGCCGACCACCAGCTGGCCCAGCCCAAGGGACCTGCCGGAAAAGGGAAAAAGTGGCAGACAAAAAGAATGGCGGACAGCCTTGCTTGGCGACCCCCGTGAAATGGTCGATCGACCCCAAATGGGGTCCCGACCCACAGGTTGAGAACCACTGTTTTATGGCCTCTCTTCTCTCCCCTCGCCCCCTCCTTTTCTCTTCCGTGGGAAGTGCCAATCCTGGGCTTCTGTCTCGCCCCTGCAACCCTGCAGAAATGCGAGCTGATCCTGGGCTTCTGCCCAGCCCCCATAGCCCTGCCGAAGTGCCGATCAGCTGTAGCTGCTTGCAGCGATCGTGGGCTTTGCTCAGCCGCAACAGCCCTCCTTCGAACTGGGGCATTTCCAACCAAGTTGCCTTTTCTCTTCCGGGCACCTCCAGCTCCCAGAAGCTCCGATCGACTGGAGCCCAGCACTGATCCTGGCACCTCTGCCGAGCCCCAACAGCCCTGCAGCTCCAGCTCTCTCCCTCAGGCTTGTGCGATGCTCAGCTCATTCCTCTCCCCCTCCGCTACCATTTCTAGGATGGTCACGTACCACCTGCCAGGTGCCAAAATACCACAGGTGGTATGCGTACCCCCAGTTGAAAAGCCCTGGATTAGAGTTTTTCAACCTCAGCAGCTTGAAGAGATGTGGACTTCAACTCCCAGAATCCCCCATTGGATCATGGAATCCCAGCTGAGTGTTTCTCAGTCTCAACAGGTGTGGAGTTCAAGTCCCAGCATTCCAATTCTCGTTTCCCTTCTTTCCTTTCAGGCAAGGCAGGCCCCTTGCCGCCCCCCTCCTTGGACAGCCAGCGTCCCGAGATGCTGCTGCGGGTGACTGTCGGGGGGCTGACCGTGACCCTGCTCCATCAGCCACCTGGACTTTTCCCATCGGATGTCCTCTCCCTCGGATTAGCTCAGCATTTCTTCTCCCAGCTGGGGGGTCTGAAGGACACCGCCTTCGGAGGCCGGGATTTCCATCCCCTGCGCCACTGCTTTGAGGAGGCCATTCCACGCAGCCATGTCAGGTGAGTCCAGGCCAGGGTTTCCCATTCTTAGAGACTTTAAGATGGGTGGACTTCAACTCCCAGAATTCCCCATTCAACCAGTGTTTCCTGCTCTTAGCCACTTTAAGATAGGTGGACTTAATTCCCAGAATTCCCCATTCAACCAGTGTTTCCTGCTCTTAGCCACTTTAAGATAGGTGGACTTAATTCCCAGAATTTGCCAGCCA